CCGAGACCATCCGGGAGAGGACAAACCACCTCTTTGAGATTAGGCAAGAGGGTAGGAAGATGATCGAGATACTAGACCTGGACGGAGCCACCACGAATGAGGAAATTGCGGGCAGAATAACCGAGGAGACAGGGGCAAGCGAACTCAAGATATACGAACAGACTAAACTCAGATCAGGCGCATGGCGAACCAAGGCCCTCCTCCCCAGGAAGTCGGCGGATAAACTCATCACGTCTGGTAAGATCAGGATAGGACTAACCTTCTGCAGGATAGTGGAACGGTTCGACATTCCGCTCTGCTTTAACTGCCTCTCTTTGGGGCATATTAACAAACATTGCAAAGAGCCGGCGAGCCTAGAGAGAGCTTGCTTCAAATGTACGCGAACCGGACATGTTCCGAAAGAATGCCCAAATGAGAAGTACTGCGGGGAAGCTGAACAGACGGGTCATACCAGCAACTCCTACAACTGCCAGAATTACCGAAAGCTCATGAAAGAGAAGATCGAAAATCTGAGACGTCGAAAATGATAACACACACACACAACATGGACAGAATACGCATACAAAACCCTATCAACGTAACCCCCACGATTAAATTCCTCCAAATTAATCTCAACAGATCCAAACCGGCACAGGACCTGGCAATTAAAACCGCGAAACAGCTGAGGGCCAACATAATAGTTGCCTCGGAACCAAACCTAGGACACACGGGCAGAGACTGGATAACAAACACTCAAAAATCTGCGGCCCTCAAATTCATGGGTACACCCATACCCTTCCACTCTGGACGTAGAAACGACTTTGTTTGGGCAGAGGCCCCGGAATACTCGGTGTACAGCTGCTACCTCTCCCCAAATGCCACCACGGACGAATTTAAGGAGACACTCAGAGAACTCAGCGCAAGCATTAACACTAGACGCATAAACAAGCCAATATTGATTGCAGGGGACTTCAACTCGGCTTCCCCACTCTGGGGGAGCAGGAGCGCAAACAGCAGGGAGAAAATCCTAGAGGAATGGGTGGCTGCAAACGACCTTGCAGTCCACAATGAAGGGGAGAAACCGACGTTCGAAAGACGGGACCAGACATCACACATAGATCTCACACTAACAGACGCTCAACACGCTCACAACATAGAACACTGGCACGTGCTCGCAGGGCTGGAAAGCCTCAGCGATGACAACTACATA